ACCCTGAGCCGGTGAGATTAGAACCGCTGAACTGCAGATAACAGTCAGCTGAAGTGGCCTGCAGTACTGCACCCTAAGCACTGCGCCATCTCGGCTCTAGGAGGCCGCTACTGGGTTTCTAGAAGCGTTGGAGGAATTGGATGACACTTTTGAGACTGCTTCTCGTCCCGGGAAACTCCATCGCCCCAAGTCCTATCAGCAAGGAGATCCCATGGAATCCGTCCTCCAGGTGCTTCCAGGTGACACGCACCCTGTTGTCGTCCAGCCGCTTCTTGTACAGCAAGCCCTCGTCTCGGAAAATGTCGTATTCGCAGGTCAGAAGGAAAGTCTCCGGGAACTGTTGGAGGACGTCGTCTTCCGTCAGGAGTGGCGAAAACCTGGCTTCGAAAACTTTCTCGCATTCCTTGAAAAGGTCTTCTGAAAAGGGACCGGGTATGAATGGCACGTATCCCCGGCGTTTAAATTTTTCCGGAATATGTTCGTGGCTGATCCATTTTTGGTACTTGGCCCTGAGGTGTTCCGGAATGTGAGCCTGGGACAGCGCGCAGTCGATGTTCAATTTCTTTCCGGCGAGGTAAAACAGGCCAAAACGGATAAAATTTCTCCTGAATAAAAGGGGCACCGATTGGTTCTGCTGGTAAGAGGGCAAGTTGAAATCCAGAGCTTGGAGGAAAGGGTAGAGTAGGACGTGGGCCCTGACACGGGGCAGGTCCGTTCTGAAGACCAGGTCTTGAGAAACGGCCAGCACGAGGGCGCCTCCGCTGCTGTCGCCACCCAACACGATCCGTTGAGGGTCCACGCCGAACTCCGTCGCGTTCTTCAGAAAGTACGATACGGCCGCGTAGCAACCGCGTTGTTGAGCTGGGTAGGGGTGTTTTGGTGCCAATGGATATCTAAACCAACAGTGAATCAAAAGGAAATCTTTCAAATGCATTGGCATTCCTATGATTATTGTTGTTTTTGTTGTTATTATTATTATTATTATCCTTATTGGTATTATTTATAGGTATAGTATTATTATTTGTAGATATTATTATTATTACTATTAATGGTTAATCTTTGGTGAGATTCACAGCCTTTGGGGCTGGTTGGTAGCTCAACCGTTCAAGTCCTAACCAGGGACCTAGGAACTGTTAAGATAACGTTAGAGAATATAAGCTGGTCCAAGTAGGATGGTGGTGGTATTATTATTATTATTATTATTATACAATTGTATCAC